CTTTTCTTGAAATTACCAGCTGAACTTGCTATTGAAAGTAGTTAGATTATTTAAGAAATTGTATGATCAATAAAATGTGGAGGGAAAAGGAATGAAAGACAACTGTAGAGACCAGAGACAGTGTGAGAAGAGGGTGGGAAAGGGCAAAGGGTCAAACATAGGGGTAAATAAATATATATATATATATATAAAAAATGAAACTAGAAATGGAAAATTATTGACAACATGCATGATTACGCCACTATGCAGTATATTCTGGATGGGAAATCACATTTTGTGTGCTGTGAGGATGCTTAGTTAGGGGATGAATGTAAATTAATTAATTAAAAAAATTTCAGGAGAAAAAATTTCCTAAAAAATAAAAATAAATAAAAGTTAATGATTAAAAAAAAATCTTCAAGAGGAGGATGGAGGAGAAAGGACTGCAGCATGGCCATCCCTGTGGGGGGATGGTTTCTCACTTTCTGAATCTCTGTCTCTCCAGCGAGCACACCATTCTACAGCAAAAATCTCTCTAAAAAAAAGAAAAGAAAAAAATCCAGAAATAAAAAACATGAAATATTTCATACTGAATTACTGGGGGAAAAAAAGGAAGCAAGAAAGCTTATTTGATCCAATGGAATAAGCTCCTTAAAATTAACAATATCATCTGGCAGAATTAAGAAAACGTTTTGTCACAGGAAGAGAGCCACGAAAAGAATCATTTGAGTTGTTAAAAGATAAATCTGGGGGCCAGACAGTGGTGCAGCAGTAAAACAAGATGCTCTCTGAGGGGAGTTTCCTATTCAGATCTGGAGAACCCCTCAGTATGCTGAGCACGTGTATGCCCAGGATACGGGGGTGGCTAATGCTAGAAGTGGATCATGATATCGAGACCCTGTTTGGGGTGCTGTCTCTCTCTCTTTCTGAAGAAATAAATAAATGAACTTTAAAAGAAGATAAATCTGGGTTTCAAAGATAATTTTTTTTTATAAAACTCAAGTATTTTCTATACAAAACATACTCACATTTCACAAAAGGAATGAAGAAAGCTTCCCTCTCTTTTGACTCCACAGCTTGATTCCCTAGAAGTAACCATGTTTTTTATTTTCTTATATATCCTATCCTGTTAGAAATTTTCTTGCATGTACAAGAATATATTATTTATAAGATACATGTGTGTATATATATATGACTATAACATTATATATTTTTTTCTTCTTGCATTATTTCTGAAACTGTCAATAAAATCATTAATTTTTAAATTCCTGATTCTTAAAGAAAAACTCCCTATAAACAAGAAGTAAAATCCTCACACACAACAATCTCAGGTCTTCATGAGAGTTAGCAAAAGTCCAAGTACTCTGTGAAACAGAAATAATCAAATGCCTCAAAATATTTAATTTCCTATTCCAGGAATGTGAAACAGGTGTAATTAAAATAACACTTTTTTAATTAAGTGACCTCTCTTGACCAACCATCTGTGAATAATTCAGATTTCCCCCTTATTATTACTGTAAAATTAAAACGAGGTCATATAAACAGGAAGATCCTCTTTAACTATCTTTAAGCACCAGCAATATATATTTTCCACCAGTTAAAATCCTTAATGATACAAAAAATCTGTCAAGCATAACTTCCCCAATTCATTTGCCTGAAACCATCAATATTTTATCATGCACTTGCAGTTGGCTTTAATTTAACAGTCCAGGTTACTAATCAAACAAAACACCCAAGTCATTAAAAGTTAGCGTGCCATTT